TGTATTACATGCGTAAGGATAGAGCGTACAAACCGTGCTAGATGACTTTTTTGATTAGACGCGTATCTCGGAAGGAAGTCGTGTTTACTTGACACGTATTTCATTCCAAAAACTTTTTTCGCGCACTGTACTATGAGCGCAAAGAAGTTGTTAGACATTTTGGGCAAATGTATTTATAATCAACATTGTGGTTTATTTTTAATTGTTTGTTGGGCGTCTACATTCTTCGGAATAGTTGGCGTAAATACAGTTGAGGATTTTGAACAATTGATATTGTAATACTGGTAGGCTTACTATACAGTCTGAGCAAATGCATTTGATCAATCGACGTTGTGAAGAAGCGAGCTTAATTTCTAACTGTCTTTTACGTTTTTAGGCATATTGGCGTAATACAGTTGAGAATGCTTTAAACAATTAATATTGTAATGACTGTAGGCTTACCATTATGGGCAAATGCATTTGATCAATCGACAGGGTTTAATTTCTGTTTTTACGATCGGAATACTTGGCGTATACAGTCAAGACCATTTTGAACAATGGTATTGTAATGCCAAACAATTTGATCAATGGAAGTGGCAATTTGTCGTCATGCGTCCACGGTTTTCGGAATAGTTGGCGTATATGATACAAGACGGCTTAAGCGCAGACACGTTTCTTTTTTGATTACCAAACGCCTGGTAGACTCACCTGATTTTATTAATGCGTGTCGGCGTAGACCATTAAGGATTAGTGACTTTGGCGCATGGCTAATTTCCGTAAATGTTAGCACGTCTTAATCTGCAGGAAAACAGTAAAGCATAATTCCGAGCAAGTTCAAATATTTGTCAACAGCATAAAAGCACATAGAAGTCGTTTCGAACATGGGACCATACTACCGTATTTCTCGGACTAAAGTACCCCCCTTGCATACAGTAGTACCACCCACCATTTTGAAGCTCATGGAATGTAAAAGACCATCGGTTTGTTACACAAAATACTTGTAAAGTACCGTGGTACAGCGTTTTTTATTATTATATTATCATATATTCCTAAAACCATCCACTTCTTCATAATCATCATCTACGAAAATATTATTCTCCTTGTCGGTTTGATCAACGTTAATGTCATCCAATCCCTCACTATCAAACATCAACTCATCCTCCGTTCCATCTGCTAGTTTTATTCGTGTTCGTAGATGCAAAATTTTTAACTACGTTACAGCCAATAAAATAGCGATTACATAGTGTAATATCCGAGTAAAGTACCTCCCCCCCCCCATGGTACAATGAGGTTTTGTAAAATACCACTGGTACTTTAGTCCGAGAAATACGGTAATTTACATTTTTTAGAATAAATAAAATAACTGTACGGAAGTGGCGTAAAATTTTTTATTCGAGTCATGAGTTAGCGATGCGATTTGGTGCGGATACAAAAAATTTTGGAAATAAGTGGCAGTCGTGATCGACACTATTGTTTATTATCTATCTTTGATTTGTTATCCAAATTGGTCCAAGTTAAAGGGTAATGGCGGCGGGGAAGATTAGCCGATCTGCCAGATATAGTAAGGTTGAATTTCATTTGGGCTGTAACAGATACAATATGTGCAAAGTTGCGAATGGAAAACCAATACTGCGGGAAAATAAGAATGATGCTATATAAACGACCTTTGTCCGTAAGCTTATGCATAAGCATAAGCATAAGCATAAGCTATAAGCATATAATACTTATAAAGTGGGTTTGCAACGATCATTGCTAAATGTGGAATAACACAAATCAATAATATTAATGGATGTCACAATTCGAGTAATTGGTGTTTATAGTCATCGTGGATTAGCTCTTGTAGAACGATTCAATAAGATGTTAGCAGAGATGCTTTATCAAATCCAGTATGCCGTTGAATCAATATCTAAAAATCCTAAATTAATAAGAGAGTGGGTTAAGTATTTACCAGAAGTTATTAATTACCTAAATAATTATCCAACGCGTCTTATTAGAGCTCCTGGATCAAAGAAATGGGGATTAGCACCTATAAAAGCAATTAAGTTAGAAAAGATTGAATCTCGGCCATCCACAAATTATAAACGTCCTGTTGGGAAAAATTAGGAAAATAAGTTAAAGAAGGGTGATAATGTTCGTTACCTGCTTGCTAATGCGGAGTGGGAAGGAGGTATGGAAAATCAGAGACGCGCGACGGATCCCACATTCAGTCCAAGCATTCATAAAATTCGCAAAATTGTGGTAACGAAAAATGAACCAGTTTTATATTATCTCGGGAGTGATGATGATAAATATGCTCCAAAGCGAGGATTTGTACGTGAAGAATTAATGCTAATTGATCTAGAAAAACTTCAGTATCCACCCCAGAGTATATGGGAAGAAAATACTCGTTCCAGGTCTGTTAATTTCGTTCGTATTATTAATAAAATGGCTAAAGCCATTGCATATGCTGAGAAGTGTGGTGGAAAATGTCTTGGTAAAACTGGTCAAATAAATGATTTCGATGTATATCTTTGGTCCTGTGAAAACGGAAAGCATCAGTGGGAATATCCATATCCATTAACAGCTATGAAATTTGAATGGTGCCCCCTATGCCATCATACCACTGATGAGAGGCGCTGTAGATATATTTTTGAAGACCTGCTGAATAAGAAATTTCCAGTCATTTTTGAATGGGATGCAATTAGACGGATATAACGAAGAGCTAAAATCGGCATGGGAATTCCAGGGATCTCAACATTTTTCTGAGAACCCAATGTTTCATTAAAAGCCATATAAAATTCAAGCATCGAGCAGTTTATAGTGTAAATATTAATTAGTTATATAGCAGCAGCCAAGGTAATGTTATTAATGTCGAAGTATTGTTACCAATTCTCCTGTATTATCTTGAACTGGCACCGGAAGTCTTTCATACTCGCAAATTTACAAAGAAATCAGACGTATATTTTTTGGCATTATTATGTATTTGATGGCCACCGGGAACTGCCTTTTAGAGACAGGCAATTCGATAGAGATTTCCTATACGATGTTATAGGCGGACTATGACCATCGATGCCTGATCGCACCGAAAGAATACAAGAAACTTGCCAAGTGGGTGTTGTGATGCTGGATCCTGATAAGCGTCCAATGGATACATAGCAATCTTGTTAGAGATATCAATGATTCTGACGAATAACATTTATCATAATAATGTAAGACCCTTATAATTTCTCGAGAAGGAGAAGAAATATTCTAGTACGCTCTTAATTACTGGAGATTTGCCTAAACTGAGAAACAACAGTTGTTCTTCCGAGTTACCTGCCATATCAGATTTCAGCTTGCCAAGTTTAGAGGGAGGTAGATGAGATAGTAGGAGAGATAATTTTGATTCAGTAGCTGGTATGAAGACAAGAATTGGTTATATATATGATATTAAAAGAAGTCAACTTCACAAATATTAACAACTTGTAAACTGTTCAAAGGTCTGTCGTTCTGTCTACTAATTGAACAAATTTTGGTTGGTGATTTTTTTGATAATATGGATAGTCTAAACTGTATAAAAAGATTTTTGAAATCGCGCCACAGTAGTACATTACCAAATATGGGATTGTCTGGATATTAGTCTTCAATATATCACATTAACCGCCACACCTGGTACCTGGTGTACGAATTTTCCGTACACCGGGATGTAAGTTGAGGACACCCAATTTCGAAATGTCTAGAATATTCTGATAGACAGTTCTTTACCATCCATTTTTGGTAAAATCCCACGGTAATAAAACCAGAAAGAGAAACAACTTTTTCATCGCCTCAATAAAACTCATACATCGCCTCAATAAAACCAAAAAGAGAAAATTTTTTTCATCGCCTCAATAAAACCAGAAAGAGAATATGCGAAGACGCTATAAAAAGGACGGTAGAGGAAGTTATTACTTGTCTCTTTTCTTCTTACCCAACGTTTATTTATATAAAAACATGTCTGGTGGATTTTTGAAAAAGTTTATAACTTTCTTACAACTTCTCCATTACGATATATTACCGCCTTTTCCGTTATTTACCAAATTATGGAAGATGAACCGTGGATAGATCAAGAAACATTAAGAGGGATAGTGAACGATGCAGTCAGTACAGCAATTTCAGACGCATATCCTCGTGATAAAGACGCGCAGAATAAACTTCTTAAGATTGCTATACAAGTGAGTAAATAAACTTTGTAGAATAATATGTAATAACTGGTACCGTATGATGATTGGTGCATTCCGATGAAGCGAGAATATCGTTGGGTTTTTAGACCTGCATAGGCTTGGGTCAAATGGGGAAACCCATATATAACCTGTTAGTCTTGGATTCAACTCCATGACCAAAAACATGGGGGTAACTCTGGGTACCTGTTAGCTCTGTTAGTACTGGCATTCAACTCCAAGGACGCATTGAGTGGTACTCTGGCTTTTGTCTAGCAAGTTATGAAAATCTATATGTGGAAGCAAAGTTGCTTATGATGTGTAGGCCGCGCAGAGATAGTAACTTTGTTATAATATACTGATGGCACGAGCTCGTGATACCAAAAGTGTTATATTGTTAACATGACACTAATATATATATTATGTTATATTTTGCACCAGTTTGATGTTGCTTTTGAAGGCGTTTGTAGTCTTCGTGATCTGGAAATGTCAATACATCCTCTTAGCGATAAAGAAATTAAGAAGAATATGAGTGACTTGGAGAAGAAACTTACAGTAGGTTTATTAGAAATCTATTTTCTTAGTATGAAGTACTTATACAAATGTTAAATTTTTTAGAGGAGTGAATCTTTACACGCTGAAGGATTGCGTCAAAATTTAAAGAAGTATCCTTATCTGATTTGACGTGGAAGGACCCACTTGGTAGTCAGGTAGTAAGTGACGATGCAGGTATCGTGAAAGAATTAGATAAAACCGAATATGATTCTTTTATGGAACCGGCGGGGAAAATGAAAGCAATTGTGCCTGATATGATTCAGGCAAAATGCAACGAATTTGTGGAGAATTTTTGTTGTAGAGATTTAGATACCTTGCCAGAGAAACTTAGCCATGACAACACCTGGAAAGAATCAGAAGAGGATTTAGTTAAGATTGCGGATGAAATCCTCAATACTCTGTAGGTAATTGTTTTCATAGAAAAACTCCTTCATTGATTATACTAACTTTGTCTCGAAGAGATAATATATGGAAGAATCCCGCATTTGGACCTGATCTTGCAAGTGCACAGAGTGAGGGAACATACGTGGCAGGAAGTGTAGTGGTTCCACCTCTTCGGGTCACATTGAAAGGGCTTCCAACTGGAGGAACTAATTTACTTAGCATGCGAGTTTGTTGAAACCACAAAACGCCGTTATCAATAGATAAGTAATTTCAAGATTTTTTTTTCAGCGCGGAGCGACAGAGTGTAGCGAGTGCACACTGGAGAGGTGAAGGGAAACAAGGCAAACGGCCTGATGTTATGTTCATTGAAAAGTACGATGACAGGTTATGTTTGTAGAGTGCTCACGTTTAGTATGTCGCAAAAGCAAAAAGAAAATGGATGAGGTAAAGTTGTGGAGAGAAATGAACGATGGAATGGCTTACATACACTCTAGCTACAAACTTGATAAGAACGGGTTCGGGATCCGAGGAATCCAAGTTACTGAGGAAACGATGTATTTTAACGTTCTTATTAGGGATACAGATAATATTGGTCGGCTTTACCATTTATCGTCTGTCGAAATTCCCGTACAGCCGACTGATAGAGACCACGTATTGCAGTTTGTAGAGACATTGCTGCTTATACGAAATATTATGATTGTCAATATTTCTTTGCTATTTGCATGCATTAATAGTTAGATCAGAGCGACAAAAACGAAGAAGAAGCTCTACAGGATCTTCCGATCCGGAATAAATTTATTTGCCAATAAAGCTAAGCCCTGGTGGCTAATTCGTATGCATAATCGTGTGTTTGCTTTATTCACATAATCAGCGTTTTTATTGCAACCTATTTTTTGAGGCTCACAAAATTACTAACTGCTAAATACAGAAATAGCCTACTGTCAAGTAGAAATACGTGTAACATATAAACTAAGTGGATATAATATAATTACTGTATATTATATTCATTACATAATGCAAAGTTGAGGGCGGATCTCTAAAGTTTTCCTTATGTTTATTAGTTTGCATTTACTTGTGTCCTCGAGTTAATCTCTCGGTTACTATCGTGCGATTAATTCGATAGTCTCCCCGTTTGGGTACACTAATATTTCAATTATAATAATGCGCATCTACATAACAATTAATAATCGTAATTTGCCACTAACGATAAGTTACCAAGGAATGCATCATTAACAATTTATTTCATTCAGAGTGTAAAGAACTACTCGTCTATTTACAATAAAGAAATCAAAAGTAATTATAACATTCTAAACATTGCACAGGACGGGCCTAATCCGAGATCCACGCTACTTATATCTTTCGGAAAGACTGATTAATCTATTTTTAGTCACCATTAATAATTGTCTAAGCTATTGTCTTCAGTATACGTTGGTACAATTACAGCGATGCTGTATCGCATAGTAAAACAAAAAGAATGTTACAAATAATAGCACGAGAAAAATTATTGGATAACGGATCAATTGTTACACACGGAAAAGCAAAACTTTAAACATCTTTAGTTCATTAATTATTCTGCTTCGTCTGCTCTATCATTCTTACAGATTAGTTTTCTTTAAACCCTTCATTATAAAAGCCTTAGGGTTTTGAAAGTTGGATATTTTATTTCGGACTATAGATGTCTTACCTCGACCAACTAAAAAAAAAAAAAGTCGCACATAAACAAGCGTCTCGAGGTAAGAGAGGCAAATTAAAGAAGATAAACTCAATCCGATCGATGCATATTTGAATTAATGGAGATGGGATTGAGCGATGATTTATCAAGTGAAAAACCTTTTGGAAAACGATGAGGTAAGTAATTGGGGAAGTGATGTTGATTCGGCGACAGAACAAGATTCCGAGACAGACTTTCAAAGGATAATCTTTGGTTAAAGCGGAGAGCGGATGCAAGTTTAGAAAAAAGCAGACGTGGTCCTTATAACATCGGGAAAACACCAAATCGACGTATTATGACAAATGGGGACCGAGTGGTTCATGGACAGCGGCTGCAAAGGAAAGTCCAAAATTAGAGAGGTTTTTTAACCAAGCAGCTGCAGAAAATAATCAACAAATTGAATCGGTGCAAAATGTTTCATCAGATGAAGAGTTTGCTTTGCCATCGGAGAATGAGATTTTAAGTTTAGAAAAAGATTTAAAGGAAATTTTCAATACATTGTCAGCACAAGAGTATGTTAAGAAGAGGGTTATATTTGAATACTTAGTGCGTTTACTAAAAGGTGAGAAAAAATAAAGGCAAGTATGGAAGCAGTAAGGATGGGTGTGTATAATATCGTAAGTGGACAGCTACCCAGGTTCGAGAGATGGCAAAGTATTGGCACAACAATTATACGTTGCCTATATCTTGTCGAGGAAACTTAATAGAATAATTGACGATGAAGATATAGCATAAAGATGTCATACGTGGATTCGCATGAATGGCAGCCATCCAACACCGCATCGATTCAAAGAATAAAATAATTATCACCAAAGTAGGCATCAACAAGACAATACAGCACGTCGATGGTTAAATATCCTTGGATATCATTATCAACAACAAAAAATGTAGCGATATATGGATTTGTATAAACATGAATTTACAGGTAAATTAGCAGGGCCAACCCAATCCCAATTGCGATTTGGGTCAGAACACTAATATCAGAAGAAAGTTTACCAGATCAACCAACTCAACCCAAACCCGCCAATCACAGAAAAGACTACTGCGATTTACAAAAAAAAATTTTCTGACATAGCATCCAACTAGACTTATCTAATATACTGTACATGACAAATCCGAATAATAATTTTCTATTAATTAATTTATTCTTATTTAAACAATCTACTACTACTGTACAAACGTATATTTCTAATAAATCGCACAGGGCGCACACCCCAAGTATCCTAGTTAATGTATAATTTCCACTAGTTATGTGATAAGCATCCACAGACATTCTTATCATGGATGTTTAGGCTACCATTGGATTTGGAAAAGGCAATTACGTTTAAACAAAATTGCGTCAACGAACTGAACTTACTCCCTCCGCATAAAGAGTCATAATAACTATTCCATACTAATATTTATTTTTTGTAGATCAGCATATCATTACACTAATCAACAAATCTATGTTATATATTTATTTATGTATAACCTTATTAACATATTGTAAAGATTGAACCCACATTTTTAACGTTCGTTGCCTCAACTCAGCCTATAACATCTATTTGCGCAATGTAAACCTTTCCTTTTTCTAATGTGGACCTTTCCTTTTTATTATCTTATACAAAAACATTACTACCGTTTTCTTTTCCCGTGCTAGTATTCTAACCTTTGTTGAGCATCATATAAGGCGTTGTGGCTGGAATTAATTCAAAAAAAAATTTTTTTATACACTTTAGACTACTCGGCATTCTCGTGATTGTTCGAAACTCCCCAATTAAATCTGTTCAAAAAAAGAGAAAACGAAAGACCTTGGAGCAGTCTATACTTTGTTAAAAATAATCCAAGTATTCAGAGACACATTTCGCAAGGCATGGAAGGTAGTACGAGCCTGAATTCTAACAAACAGTGCATACTGTTACGGCAAGCTAATCAGATAAGTTAGTCACATGATAAAATCTTCCTCCGCAGTTAAACAAACCACTAATTTTAGTTTAGTATACAGATATTAATTTAGTAGCGTGTCGCAAAATATGTGACAGCACAAACGCTAAAATTATTTGCTCTTCATAGTATAATAATTTATATAGAAACGTGTTGTTTTTCTTGCGACGCAAAAGATATATAAGTAGCTCTTCCTCCATCGTCACATCTTCATGTTGTCATGTTGTAATATTATCCAGTTGTGAAATAAAATAATACTACTGATTTTAGTAGTATTCTCCCGGAATCCTTTATTATAAATATACATAATTTAATTTCTATCGTCGAAATAAATAATTATTAGACTGGACACTCCAATAACAGCTCACTTAAGCTGTAACGGAATAGCATTGATTTGATCAAACTAACAAGCTGTCCGCTAATCAATTACGTGAATAACGGAACGAGAGTTCATAATTAATTATTGAGACGAATATTGTTTAATTAGTTTAGTAAGTACAAGTGACGGATAACCGACGTCGGAAAAACAAATCGAAGATAGCCCTGTTTAAATTTAAAAATAGTATTATTTCGCTTCGATTCTTTGGTAGAATAATTGTTGTTATTATTTTATTAGAGGTACCCTTATTTGTATTTACGAGTGTTTGAAACTCGGATAGGGAGTGAGAAGCGCGCATAATT